CAGGGTGTGGGGTATTAAAGCTTTAAATCCTGCCCGCTGGCACCAACATGCCATGGCAGAACATGGCACACATACCCCATGTCTATTCCCAGGAGCACTGCATGTTTATTCCTGTAAGTATTTACATTTAATAAAGTTTGTGACGATCATACCACCGCTTTTCAGCTCCTCTTTCTTGCAAATCTCTCCTAGTTATTGATCCCTGGAGGGCATTGGCCTTGCATTTACAAGCAGGCGAACACCCCACCCCCACCCCCCAAAAATAAAACTGTCAGTCTGACAACAGAAGACTCAGAAGTACAGCCAGTCAGAATGTCCCTGAATCAATGCACTATTTTGTCCTTGTTCGTTGCAAAGTCATGTCCAACCCCTCGTGACCCCATGGACAACGTTCCTCCAGGCCCTCCTGTCCTCTACCATTCTCTGGAGTCCATTTAAGCTCACACCAACTGTGTCAGTGACTCCATCCAGCCACCTCATTCTTCTTTTGCCCTCCCATCTTTCCCAGCATGAGGCTCTTCTCCAGGGAGTCCTTCCTTCTCATGAGGTGGCCAAAGTATTTGAGTTTCCTCTTCAGGATCTGGCCTTCTAAAAGCAGTCAGGGTGGATCTCCTCTAGGACTAGCCAGTTGGATGGCCTTGCAGTCCAAGGGACTCGCAGGAGTCTTCTCCAGCACCCTAGTTCAAAGGCCTCCATTCTTTGGCTCTCAGCCTTCCTTATGGTCCGACTTTCACAGCAATCCATTGCAGCTGGGAAAACCATAGCCTTAACTATACACACTTTTGTTGGCAGGGTGATGTCTCTGCTATGCTCTATTTACCAGAAGTCTTTTTTCAGTGCCATTGAAGTAGCCACTTTATGATCCATTGTAAACCGAAGACTACCTGTTTTGAAATCTTCTGGAGGTTTCCAACCCCCCCTACCCCGTCCCTGTTGTTATTTTGAGTAAGGGAGGACCCTGAGTCTCGCACTGCTACACAAACCTTTTCTGCAGCCTCTGAGGAAATGTTGCATGTGTAGCTTGGAGGCATCACTCGCTGGCACTTCTTCTGTTGGTTACTCATGGCCCAGGAGTTCGCAAAATTGTAGCTGTTCTCTTCCAATATCCCTGAAATGGACAGGAGAGAAAGGGCAACCGTATGTGATCCTCTGATTAGAATTCCCTTGTTAATAGACACTTATAATGGGTTCGGGGGAGATCTACATTGCAACGCAAAGCCTATCATTCTCCTTAAAAGCGATTTCCCCAAATTTTCTGTAGGGAGTTAGCACCCACCCCTCTCCTAGAAAAATGAATTATTTTAGGAAATATTAAAAAGGCAGAATGTTAAATTCCCCTGGATGAGAAATGGAGAAGCAAAATCCCCATTCCCTCCCCACTCTGGGGCCAGCCAGAGGTGGCATTTGCTGGTTCTCCAAACTACTCAAAATTTCTGCTACCAGTTCTCTAAACTACTCAAAATTTCTGCTACCAATTCTCCAAACTACTCAAAATTTCTGCTACCGGTTCTCCGAACTACTCAAAATTTCTGCTACTGGTTCTCCAGAACCTGTCCGAACCTGCTGGATTTCACCCCTGCCGCCATACTTCTACCAGTTCAGCCGAATCGAGCCAAACCGGTGGGAACCAACCTCTGCATCTCACCACATGGCACCTGGGAGGATTACATCACCCAGCAAGGCTAAACCAAGCCTGGGACTCATGGCAGCCTACAAAGTTGCCCCTGCATGGCCCCATGGGAGTCTGACAACCAATCAGAATACAGGCTCAAATTCAAAAGCCCAGAGAGGGCATAAAACTGAGGCACTCTCAGCATCTCTGCCCCCTTTTTTCCCCTTCACCCAGCATCTTCAAGGCATGGGATCTTGTCCACCATTAAAACCATCCTTCCAAGCAGCCCCCATGTTTCCAGTGTCTTTTTCCCCACTTGGAACTGAACACAGAAGGACATTTCTTCCAACAGATCAACTCACAAAAATCACTCGGGGCTCTTGCGTTTCTAGGAAACCCTTCTAATTGCGTAAGATACTCAGGATTTAATTCATGAGTTGGCTTCAGTTTCTAACCGTATAAAGGAAAGTGGTGCAGCTCAGGCCCCAGGGGAAATTTCCTGGCTTATTTGTGAGAGCACAGCCCCCATCACATCAGCCTGGAAGTTACAAAGTTTTTGGAATAAGACTCACACACAAACATAAACTTTCTCCCAGAACAATATTTCCCAACTTTGGTCCCTTGAAGATGTGTGGACTTCAACTCCCAGAATTCCTAGCTGGCTGGGGAACCCTGGGAGTTGAAGTCTATACATCAAGTGACCAAGGTTTTTTTTGTTTATTATTTACTAGCCGATAACCCAACATTGCCCGGGTATTTATTTATTTATAGGGGGGGAATGTCCAGACCAAATGTTGGATTTTCCTCCTTACCAGAGGGAGCCCCCTTTTGGAGTACTGTGAAGCTGTTACCATGGAAACTCCACCACCCTGCACAGTAGAAATCATTTTAAGGCACAACAGGCTGTATCTTAACAGAACACACACCCCAAGAGGTTTTAGGGGAGTTTTACCCCCCACAATATTTGTTTCCAGAGAGTAAGTCATCTGTGTACCAAGCTTGGTTGAAATTGCTAGAGGCGTTCCAGAGTTATGCTGGAACGGACAGACACACACAGCCATTTTTCTATACAGTATATAGATTGTTATGAAATTGATTTGCCTCCCATCTCATAACCAAAAACTCTGGGTGGCTCAAGGTTGAAAAACACTGACCTAGAAAAAAATACAGCACGCAACAAAACCACAAAATTAGCCAATGATGAACAACAGCAACAGATGAATTGTATCTCACAGAGTTTGAAACCAGGCTTATATATGCAAGCAGAAGAAAACATCAAAAGAATTGTCCTAAGAATAATTATAATGGATCGGGAGCGGCCTCAGACAGCAGGAATACTGTACACATAGTCTTTTCCCTCACTTCACAATACAGTAAGCAGGAAATTCTACTTTTTAGCTAATATAAATCGCGCGTCACAGCTGATCATCGGTTTCATTTATTCTATCACCAGTTCAAGTGAGCCAGTAGCATTTTTGCTACTGGTTTGGCTGAACTGGCTCGAACCGGTAGCATTTCACCCCTGATTCAAAGTTACAGCAGCCCTGAACAAGTGACTTATAACTGTTTTTCACAATTTAAACTGTTGCGGCATTCCCGTGGTCACGTGATCCATATCTGAACACTTGACAACTGACTCCTATTTGTGACGGTCGCTGTGTCCCTGGGTTACGCGATCTGCTTTTGCGACCTTCTGATGAGCCAATTAACGGGGAGCCCAGATTCGCTTAACCCCTGTGTGGCTCACTTAACAATTGCAGTGATTCATGTAACACGTGTGGGAAGAAGCGTCGTCAAATGGGCAAAATTCACCTACATGAATGTTTCTCTTTGCGACAGAAATGTCAGGCTCAATTGTGGTCGTACGTCAAGGACTATCTGTAGCGACAACCTCAGAAACCCAAACCATTTCTTAAAAAAGAAGAACTGGTTTAAAAAAAGAAGAAACGGATTGTAAATTTAGTTCCTCTATTCCTGCGGGGTGGGGGGGAAGACCCATTGCTAGCTGATCAGAGATGCAGAAAAATACTGCAATTATCTTTTATTTTTAAAAAAAGAACAATTAAGCTTCAAATAGGTTTTACGCAGGGTATTTTATTTTCCCATGAGAAAGCAAACTGGAAGCTTCCTTCCTAAAAATAATACCAGACTGTTTATCACTGCTCATTCACCGACCTTCCTCCCAAGAAGTATAACCAGAAAAGTGACTCAGAGCTTGAAGAGGGAAACATATGGAGTCACCATCGTCTAGTGCCTGGGAGCAAATACAGATTTTCTAGAGCATTTACACCACACAGCTGCCACCACTCAAACTATTCACACAATACTTCTCACAATGAGCAGCAAACTTTCCCCAGAAGACTAAAGGTTGGTGGTTACTTTTGCAACCCTCTCCACACCTAGGTAAATGTAAAGGTTCCCCTTGTACATATGTGCTAGTCGTTCCCGACTCTAGGGGGCGGTGCTCATCTCCGTTTCAAAGCCAAAGAGCCAGCGCTGTTCGAAGATGTCTCCGTGGTCATGTGGCCGGCATGACTAAATGCCGAAGGTGCACGGAACGCTGTTACCTTCCCACCAAAGGTGGTTTCTATTTTTCTACTTCATTTTTACATGCTTTTGAACTGCTAGGTTGGCAGAAGCTGGGACAAGTCACGGGAGCTCACTCCGTTATGAGGCACTAGGGATTCGAACTGCCAAACTACCAACCTTTCTGATCGACAAGCTCAGCATCTTAGCCACTGAGCTACCACGTCCTTCTTTTTTTGCTGGAACACTGGCAACCTTCCAGACTAAACCCTGATCTGCCAACATTATTTGCCAGAGGCCTCTTAAAGCCTGTCTATTTGAAAACTAGAAGCATTTTCAGAAACAGAGCTAATTCAGATGCTTGGGTGGCCGCCGTGCTCATGTCCTCTTTTGAAAATCAAAAGAATAAGGAATAAAAATTGAAACCCCAAAGGGAGAGAATATTTGCAGCTCAGGGTTGAATTGTGGCATCCTTGGTGGTGCTCTCTGAGATTGTTCGTTTTCTCTGCAGATGTTTCATCACCCAACTTAGTTCAACCTTGGTGCTCTCCCTGAGCGTGTTGTTTTCGTGCAGATGTTTCATCACCCAACTAGTTGGGTGATGAACAATCTAGCTGGGTTATGAAACTGCTGCAAGAAAGCCACCAAGTTCAGAGAGCACCAAAGGATTGAAGAAAGGTGAAGTCAGAGAAGATGGACCATCTAAGGGCATTGAGAAATGTCCCAGGAGACATTCAATGAAAGCTCCTTGTTTTCTTTGAAAGCTGAATCTCTGGAGTTCAGGACTTCTAGAAGAGGGAATATTCAAATACTTTCCATCTTGCAAACATTGCTGGAGACTCCCAACTTTGCATCTTCGACCATGGCAGGAAGTAGAGGAGAAGGGTCTTAACCAGCTTGCCCTGATTCTCACCTTTAGTGGCTTTCTGGAGGGAGGGGCGCAGAGGTGGTATTCAGCAGGTTCTGACCAGTTCTGGAGAACCGGTAGCAGAAATTTTAAATAGTTTGGAGAACTGGTAAATACCACCTCTGGCTGGCCCTGCCCCTATCTATTCTCTGACTCCTGAGTCCCAGCTGATCTGGAGGAAATGGGGATTTTGCAGTATCCTTCCCTTGCCATGCCCCCCAAGCCACACCTATCAAGCCACAGAACCAATAGTACAAATTTTTGAATCCCACCACTGGAGGGGCGGCATCAGGTGGGTGGGATTCAGCTGGTTCGCACCGTTTGGGCGAATTAGATGCTAGTTTTAGATCTGGTTCACAGAAAGGGT